CCTTTAACGCTCAACCCGCTTTGCTCAATAGATGAAGCGTATTGTGTGTGTTTTCATCAATACCTGATTAAAGGGGCCTAATTCAAGGCTTAGTCCATTATGTCCCTCAGGTGGCGATGAACTCACTAAGGAAAGGTTCAAAGCCGAAAGCTACCTCTCCCGAATTCACGATACGAAAGGTTGCCCAACCTATATTTGTTTTATGATTTCTTGATTTATTTATTGATTTCTGAGTCTTCAGTCAATATTGCCTTTTGGGAGGGACTGTTAGATATTTTGTTAACAAAAGGCAATTTTGCCTTCATGAATTATAATAAATATTGTAATTAAAACATGCAATTAAAAATATGTGTAACGGCTATATAATTATGGGGAACGTTACAAAATTTATGACGAACGTTACGGAATTAATTACGGGTTTTGTAACGTCTTTTCCAACCCTATATATATATATATCCGTATGTTGAGCTCAAAATGATAAGAAAAAATATACAACAAGTTTCTCTTGTTTTTCTTCTCTCCCCTACAAATTATTTTCATCCACATCTTAGTTTTATTTTATGGGCAACTTCCTTCATCTGAGCTGAAGCTCTGCATTCTCGCCCGAGTGTAGAGGCCGGCAGTTTCCGGGGGTTTTTACCGCTAGGGGAAGGGAACCATCTGCGCCAGGGCGATAGGCGGGTTCTCAATCTTCTAGGGCAGTGAATACACGACTGCTCCCGTTCAGGCCAGTTTTAATTGTTTAATTTTTCGGATTTATCTGCATGCTATAATCTTAATTATTTGATAAATTTTCTAACAGCCCCCTGCACTGTAGCAGGTGGGGGGAGTGTGGCCGGAGGTGTGCCTCATGGTGTGCCTCTAACATTTCTTTTTTTGTCCAAACGATAAAAAATTAACACCTTTACAAGGATTCTAACGGTGGACATCTTGTGGTATTTTTCTGCCATCAAATATAAGTTATGGTATTTAAATGTTAGGTCGGATAAACTTTATGATATTTAAGTGTCATTTAGCCTTTTTTAAAATGCACACTTATTGCTATACTCACTTGATAGTTTGTCCCAACTACAGCGCTCTATGTCTCGAAATGCAAGCTGGGGGCACGTTGTCATAAACTAAATTAAGCATGGTCTTAATTTAAAATTCTACAAGTGATGAGTTGTCCCTATGTTCCAAATGAATACAATTTGGACCCGGAAAAGTTTAGACCAACTTAACTAGGTATAATTTGGATCTAGTAATCATGGATCTGACCCAACAAAATCCAAACAATTAATACATTTGGATCTACAAAAGTTCAAGACTTAAAAACTTTTTTTTTTTGCCTATTTAGTTGCTTTGATCATTTGATTTACTCTCGGTCTATTTTTCCAAATTGCCAAGCGTTCAGATTATATAACAACAATAACAAAGCCACTACCCTCCTAACAAATTTAGAATTACACCGTGCATGATCCAAACCCAATAACAATTTATACTGAGTGCACAAAAAAAAAGTTTGTGTATAAATTGATGATCAAAGATGGTTTGCGCCGAATAATCTTATTATAAAAGATCTTTCTAGATAAAAATATTCAAAATAATTGAATGCTATGTTTGGGCAATCTACTAATTGGAGGGGAAGGGAAATAAGGAAAGAAAGGAAACAACATAAAGAAAATGAAAGGAAGAGAAGGGGAAATATAATTATCATGTTTGAGAGTTTTGTAAAGGGAATGAAGGTGTATCATTTCTTAGATGTTGAGTTTGTATTATAATGGTCCACTGAGATTCGTTTCCTCTACACCCCAATTTGAGGATTAACCAAATTATATAGAATAAAGGTTAATGGATGTAAAATTTGTTACTCCCATTTCACTTTATTTTCTTTCAAAAAAATCTCAAAAAACAAGATTAATTCATTTAACTTCGTTCCCCAACCCCTCATTCACCCCCATCCAAACAAAGCAAAAAAGAATTTGGAGACACAATATCAGTCTCGATGATTGGAGTTACTAATTTCAAATATGAAAAAGGAAAAATTGTGTCAAGGCCTCAATTTTCATCAGCCCATCTGAGTAGCCCTTTCAACCTTTCTCCCATATGTAAAAGCCTCCAAAACCCAAAAAAAAGGTGTGATTCAGCCCTTCCAATTCAGCAATATACATTTTATATATTGTATTTCCCTAGATTTCTAAATTACCCCTCCTTGGTGGGGGTGTATGTGTGTATCACAAAGATTAGGTCCAAGTGAGATTTTTCCTACTGCTTCCTCCTCCCAACTAAACTCCCTTTCTAAATGCTCCTCCCTTACATCCTTGTCGGCACAATGGATAACCTTGTTGCTTCTCCCTCCTCTATTCCCCCTCTCTCCTAACCCGAATATTCATAATTGCTCCTCCTTCATATCCTCTATTCTTCCTCTCTCCTACCCTAAACCTAACCTTCTCTCTCCCTCTTCCTCCTCTCCTCCTCCAATCCTGCTGTCTCCTTCTCTTGCCTCCGCCTCTGTCATTACTGACCTCTAGCACAACCTTTGACCCCGCCCTCCCCCTCTGCCATCGACCTCGAGCGCATCTTTAACTAGTTCAACAATAATGACGACAACAAGATCTCTTTCTCCAAACTTGCCACCATCTTCTCCTCCCTTGACCAACCCCTCTCCTCCTCTAAAACCATCTATGACCTTATCTTCTCTCTCCTACAAAATTTCTCTCAGGTATGATATGCGGTGATTTAAAGATTGCTTATGAAGTGTTTGATGAAATGCCAAAGAGAGATATAGTTTTTTAGACTGTGATAGTAATAGATCATGTATTAAAAAAATATCATGGAGACCTTGCCGCTTGTTCTTACTGCTTTTTTGTTCATTTCCTTCCAGAAAAATCACAACTTTATAACATACAACATAACTTAATAGGTAATAAAATATCCATAACAGAAAATGACTTAGAATTAATATGAAATGACTTAAACTTCACAGACTTAAAATTCATAGGGGAAAAGCTTAGTCTTAGCATGAAATGACTTAGACTAAACACACAATTGCTTAAACTTTACAGAAAATGACTTAGATTTAACATGAAATGACTTAGACTTAATACAAAATAACTTAAACTTTATAGGAAATGATTTAAAATTTACAGGTAAGGGCTTAGACTTAACATGAAAATGACTTAGACTTAACACATAATTGCTTAAACTTCACAAAAAATGACTTGGATTTAGTATGAAATGACTTAGACTTAATACAAAATGACTTAAGCTTCACAGGAAATGAATTAAATTTTACAGGGAAGGGCTTTGACTTAACACGGAATGACATAGACTTAACACACAATTGCTTAAACTTCATAGAAAATGACTTAGACTTAACATAAAATCACTTAAACTTAATACAAAATGATTTAAACTTCACACGAAATGACTTAAACTTTACATATAAGGATTTAGACTTAATACAAAATTTGCACATTTTAAAACTAGAACTACCTTGTGTCGTGGTTTTATTACTCAAGGTATTCTTCAATTAACTCAAAGGATGCCAAAAATCTCCTTTTGAACATAAAGCTGAAGCAACAATGTTCATTATTTAAAACAAGTTATGAAACTAATATACCAAACATAAATTACTAAAATGAGTAACACATATAAAATCTTAATCTTGTAAGCAACACATCAAACATATGCTCGGCATTAAAGATAATACTCAACTCGAGATCCATACATGATCTAAGGTTCCTTATGGCTTGGAAGGTGTTTGGGGAGGCTTATTTTTTAGTCAAACAAGTTTTTAAGCTAACTTTTTTATTTCTGCCTGTTTGGTAAAATGCCAAAAAGTTAGCTTATCAGTCTCATTTTAAAAAATTAGTATACCCAACTTTTGAAAAACTAGCTTATAAGCTCACTTAAGAACGCAATGTTTGACCAAACAAATTACTATTCTACTCGAACAATTTTTGTAGTATTTTTATAAAAAAAACTCAAAATCCATTAAAAGCCAGCATAACTTATAAGCTTCAAATAAATAAATAAATAAATAAATAAATAAATAAGCCTTCTCAAATACACCATTACTCTCCTATCAGAATTACTAATCCAAAAGCATCAAGTTCCATTACAGGCATCATGGACTTTGAAGTGAAAGCTGTAGAGATGAGTTGGGAGCAACCTCTAGAGAATATCTCTAGTAGCATATTCTTGAGATGAGGAAAGAACACCGTCTTCTTGACAGTAATCTCGGAGATGGATATCTTGTCATAGGCATTGGATGCAACGCTCAAGGTTGGTGGTGGCAGAGGGGGAGGCAGAAGAAGGAGACAAAAGGGTCATGCACCCAAGATCAATTGTGGCGGAGGAGGAGGCGGGAGAGGGAGATGGTGTGGTCAAAGGGTGCACTCGAGGTCGGTCGTGGTAAAGATGGAGGTTGGAGAGGGGGATGTCAGTGTCGTAGGGAAAAAGGAAGAAGAGAGACGGAGTAGGAAGATTAGGGTTAGGAGAGAGAGGAGGAGAGGAGAGAAGGGACAAACAGCCATGAAGATTAATATTATGAGAGAAGAGAGAGGGGGAAATAAGGGCATTTTTTGGTTTTATATTTTTTTTCCTCTCTCTGTGCTTGGTTGGCAGAGAATAAGGGCTAAAACACATTATTACATTGTATCTAGGGTTTATACGTAAAGATGGAACTATACCAGGACTTCTCTCATTTGGGACATTGACACAATTTTTACTATAAAAAAATGTTAAATGACTGATATCACAAATATTCTACTAAAAAAAGAATAAGAAAAAAACTAATTGACTAGAAGACAAAAAAAGATCTGGACCAGCCTTAATAATTCCCACTCTATCTGCTTCATTCCTGTCCTACAGTGGACCCCACTCCTAAGCACAAACGATACTCCCTCCCTCCTCAAGTTTTAACCCAATCATTCCCCTTTCTCTCTCCAAAAACCAATGCCGACCAAGGAAGAGGGGGAGAGAGAAGC